TTTCGGTCTTGTTTTATTCTGGAAAAAATTTCCACATGGTGCTTATTGATTATGTGATGGGGGGAGAATTTCTCTAATATTCCAAGTTTCTTTTCCGCATTTTGTTTGACTCAGCAATGTTTATTTTTTGTTATCTTATCTTGACTTTTCCACATATATGTGATGATTTTTTGTTTTTACTTCTCTCTCTGTTTCTGTTTCTACGGGGTACTGTGCCTTGTCGTGGGGGGGAGTGTTATGGCCCGAGGTCTGCCCAGCCGTATGTACACGACTGCGGCACAGTAGACCTAGTTCATCTTGTATATAACCTGTCAAGCTCCAGCTCCCGGCTCCTTCCACATCCTTCTTTGTGGTTGGATCTCCGATGCTGAGCTTTTGCTCTAACAGGTATGCGCAATATATCCTTCTTTGTGGTTGGATCTCCGATGCTGAGCTTTTGCTCTAACAAAATTGACGACGAATATGTGCCTCCTTGACGTTCGCCAAATCTCACAATTTCACACGATTTGCCGAAGAATGACCCGAGTACCTGCTATGATGTAACCGAAGGCCCGCGGAGGAGGGCCAACCTTGTAATGCTTGGCTCAACACTGTGTCTTGCGAATGATCCTGACAAATTTTGACTGTAATCGCCGTGACGCTGAGCAGTGCGCATCGAGAAGGACACTTTTGTGACTCAGAACTAATCACGGCAAGAGCTACGTTTGCAGCTCTCAAAGCAAATGCAACGATATGGCTCCACCCCGCTAACCGCGCTAAAGCATCGACTTCTACGTGAGGCAAGCTTCTTCGCTTTGGGACCGCGAATATAACTTCTTTTGAGCAGGAACCGAGGATTTCAAAATGGGAATAAAGGCAAATTTCATTGCAATTCCACGGAATCAACTCGCTTGGATTGCTCCATGACTTTGAGAATTACAAGCCATTGTGATTAGGGTGTTGACTCCTTGTATACCGCAATTCCAACAGAGATGTTGTCGCGACAATCATTTTTGATCCACTAATGGAATCTAGGAGAGCGTCGTGCGTCGTGAAATGAGAGATGGGAGTGCGCTTGCCCAGAATGCCGAGCGGAGGCAACCGATCTTGAGTTGTTTGCAAGTGCTGTACTCAGCGTCATCCTCTAAACTTCATACCAAGTTGTACAGCCGTATTCATGATTGATGAACATTTGAAAGAAAAACTTTTTGAACAATCACAGCAAATTGTGAATACAGGTACAGCAAAGATAATTAATCACCGCAGTTTTTCTGTGATTATTCAAATAGTTTTTTCAAAACATTTGAAAAGTTTTTTTGAGTGTTCATCAATCATGAATACGGCTGTACCTCGGCTTCGCCGTGACGCTCACAATGCAACCTCATACGCTACAAATCGCCACCTCGTGTACACTAGAAACTCGGACCTGTACCGAGGAAAACGTGTAACACATCCTCGGCACGTACCCGTGTCATCGCGCCAGATGTGTTGAAGATGCCTCAGATGCCTCTGAAGGCATCCTCACAACACGTCAAGTCCTCAACTATCGTATGTAAAGTCAACCAGCTCCTTCCATTCTCCAACCACACTACATCAGCACATCAAGGCCAGCTTCAAGATAACCAAAAATCCCGCATTATCACTCGTTCAAATTTCAATTTTTGCTAATGGCCTACCCACGTGTGTACACACAATGTTCACAAGGTGCACAGTGTGTACACAGTTGAACCCAGTGTACGTAGGCAAAAATACCAACCAATGTCAAAGTGTGTACACACAGGCTTATCCACATGTGTACACACATTCAAAATGCATACACACAACCATGAACATAAAGTTATGCATCACTGTGGTCATTCGTACACTTATGTGTATACACACCGGTGTACTTGGTATACACAAGTATAAACACCAACATATGAACCGGTAAACCCAAGTATTTACCAGTCTACACACATGGTTGAACTGTGTACACACATGTGTATACACATGGGTATACACACCACAATAGACACAAACCCACATGGCCCGGTGGCTAACGGACACATGTACACATGTACACTCAAGCTACGCAAGCTACTTACCTTATATGTAAACTCACCGGGCCTTGCTATGTACCCCAATCCCATGATCACGTGTATACAACTTCAACCACAAGTTGCACGGATGACTACTTGGTGACTCATCTCGATCGAAGCCAAGAATCCACACCTTGTCGATCCACAAAATTGCAACACACCGCCACCTCGACCTTCGATGCGAGATACACTTCACCATTGAAAACACACACCTACACCTTATCTCCCTTTCAAATAACTTTAATCACCCAACTTACACCTTACCCCACTTCAACCAAAACGCAAACTCTACACATACTTCAACTAAACAAGTACACCTCCTTAACTCCATTTCAACAAATACACAAACACAACACATCATGCCTCCTCGCAATTCTTCCAAACGAAAACGTGCAGCCTCCCCTAAGCAGCCCACATCACCCCCACGCCGCACATCTAGACGACAAACAAACACCACAGCCACCACCAGCTCCCGTGTACATAACAAGAATAGCACTAACAAAAAGATTAAAAGAACTGAACCATCCACAACCACTAAGACACGCAAACATCAAAAGCGCCAAACCACCACCAATACCCAGCCTAATTCTGACTCTGACACGGATCATACTGACGAAGACGAAGAATCTGAATTTCCAGATGAAGAAGATGAAGAAGAAGACACTGACTCAGAAATTGATACTTCAAAAGATAAACCAGCATCTAAAGTCAAAACCCGTGGGAAATCCCAAACTCAACTTCCCCCCCCTTTACAGCCCAGACACACCGACCCACATCATATCAATTTGAAAAACTATGAAGAATGTGATCTTGATGAATCTGCTATAGATGAATTACTTGCAAACAAAGACAGGAAGACCTCTAACCGCATACCAACTGATGTCCAAAGGGAATTGAAGAATCTCCAGACAATGTACCGTAGGAGCAAGAAGCTACTGGCATTTGTTGCCCACTGC